TTTACTTTTTATTGACTATGCAAAAGCATTCGATTATGTGCATCATAACAAATGATGGATAACACTGAGAAGAATGGGAATTCCAAAACACTTGATTGTGCTCATCAGGAACCTATACATAGACGAGGAGGCTGTCATTCAAACAGAACAAGGGGATACTGCATGGTTTAAAATCAGGAAGGGAGTGCATCAGGGTTGTAGCCTTTCATCATACTTACTCAATCTGTATGCTGAGCAAATAATCAGAGAAGCTGGATTATGTGCAGAAGAATATGGCATCAGGATTGGAGGAAGACTCATTAACAACCTGAGATACATAGATGACACAATTTTGCTTGCTGAAAGTAAGGGTAACTGGAAGCAGTTACTGATGAAGATTAAAGACTAGGGTATGCAGTATGCAGTATTCTCCACACAAGAAAAAGGAAAATCCTCACAACTGGACAAATAAGCAGCATCACAATAAACAGAAAAAAGACTGAAGTTGTCAAACATTTCATATTACTTGGTTCCATAATCAACACCAATGGAAGCAGCAGTCAAGACATCAGAAGACATATTGCTTTGGGCAAATCTGCTGCAAAAGACTTCTTTAAAGTGCTGAAGAGCAAAGATATCTCCTTGAAGACTAAGGTACATCTAACCCAAGCCATGATATTGTCAATCGCCTCATATACATGTGAAAGGTGGACAATGAATAAGAAAGATCCAAGAAGAATTGATGCTTTTGAATTGTGATGTTGGAGAAGAATAATGAAAATACAATGGACTGCCAAAAGAACGAACAAATCTGTTCTGGAAAAAGTGCAGCCAGAATGCTCTTTGGAAGTGAGAATGGCCAGACTTCGTCTCACCTACTTTGGTCATGTTGTCAGAAGGGACCATTCCCTGGAGAAGGGTATCATGCTTGGTAAAGTGGAGGGTCAATGAAAAAGGGGAAGACCCTCAATGAAATGGATTGACACAGTGGCTGGAATGATGGACTCAGGCATAGCAAGGATTGTGAGGCTGGCACAGGACCAGTGTTTTGTTCTATACATAGGGTCGCTATGAGTTGGAGCTGACTTGATGGCACCTAACAACAACAACCCTTTAGCTGGGAGAGAGACCTGGTGATCTGCTCCTATAAAGATACAGCCTAGGACACTTTAGGGGCAGGTCTATTCTGTGACATGGGGTCACCGCAAGTCAAAAATTGCCTCGATGGCACCTCACAACAGCAACAACAACTGTTAAAATGGGAATCTGAAATGCCCTTGACCATTTCCCTTTTCTCAACGGTTGGCTGCTCAAAACTCTCTGGTTTCCCCCAAATACAACAGGATCAAAAGAGAAGGCCAGGAAAGGAAGGAAAACCTAAACCCATTATTTTCAAGTCACTGGAAAGAAACAAGGAATGCAGGGAGGAAGGGTGGGTGGGAACATGACAAGAAAATATAAAAGTTTCTAAATTTCAGAGTAGTTTTGTTTCAAATCTTCAAAACTGTAATTGAGTGAAAAGCTAGCATTTTCCTATCAAGCCCACTGACATCGAGTCGATTCTGACTCATAGTAACCCAAGGTGGTAAATCTTTACAGAAGCAGACTGCCTCATCTTCCTGCCATGGAGCGGCTAGTGGGTTTGAACGCCTTCTTTGCGGTTAGCAGCCAAATGCCTTAGGCACCGCACCACCAGAGCTCCCTATTTTCCTACTAGGTAACGGTAATAATGAGTTTTTCATACAAAAATGAGTGTTCCTTTGCATACTGATACAAGGGCTACACTATATTTATAAAATTAGAAGAGAAGCTGCCTACCTCCTTCTCCTGATGATAGTACGAAAGCACTGGGAATCTTCCTTTGCTCCGGAACTTGGAACTCCCAACAATTATTGGTTTGCTTGCTATTCGGGGAACATAAAGGTCTCTGGGATAAGTTTCACAGATCTGTAAATATCAAATATAGCCACTTATGGTTCCAGACCATGAGATTGAGAACACTTGTAAAAAAAAATCTTAAAACATATTAAATTCAAAAAATTATATAATAACACATAAAGTGCTACAAGGGTCTCTAATACTCAATACTAACTTTTCTACTGAATTACCTTGTATTCTCGGTTTGCGTCAGTCAACTGCCAGTTGGAATTTGGCACTCCCATCCTCTTATATTCTTCAGTAAGGTCAATAAGCTGCCAGCCTTGGAGTCGTTCTGAATCATTTTGCTTGGGATTATAAGAAAATGCATATAGATCTTCGTACTTTGCTACAGAACACAAAATACACAAATATTGGAATGCAACTTATAGGATATAATACAATACAAATAAAGGTAAGCTTTCTGCTTTATCTCCATTTCTTCTTTAAAATCTTCAGAAATGGCTAAGGTCTGAACATATTTGAACCTAACAGTTTCATATTTAAAGGCACACATATCACTCTGAGATTCAATTTGTCATTGTCAAAAGTTAACCTACTAACGTAGACCTTTCTGTGTTCAATTCTGTACTGTAATACATCCTTTCAAGTAAAATTTTAAAAACATACTTTCTGCTCTACATTTTTCTCAAATGAGATATAAAATGGAAAGAGGAATGCTGTAATAACTTTAGAGAGGCATTCAGAGCAGGAAATTGCATTACACATTCCTTCAGGACAGCGCTGACCAAACCTGGCAATGGTTGCAGGAGCTCAGGAGACTACTTATTTTTGAACAATGGTAAGCCTCTGAAGGCACACAACCATCTCTCCTGGAAGATCTGGCTTTATGTGGGATGATGGGATGTATGTTACAGGCTTTGATGATCTGGCTTTATGTGGGATGATGGGATATATGTTATAGGCATTATGTGTGAGCAGAGAAGAGTGAGCACAGATGTACTCCAAGATCAGCCTTGCAGGCTACAATCCAGTTTTGCTTAAAAAAAAAGACGTTCCAGTAACATTCAGCTTGTTTTTTTGCTGAAGAGAACTATGTAAGTCATGTCACGTTGAGGGAAGGAGGTCCCCAAATCCCCAAGGCATGAGTAGGTACAGATCCTTCTTTAGGGCCCGCCTCTCTTGTCAGTCTTGAACCAGCTGTCACCTAGTGGACTCCGATTCATGGTGACCTCGTGTGTCAGAGCAGAACTGCCCTCCTTGGGCTCTCAATAGCTGACTGTATTAGCTGATAGATCACCAGGGCTTTCTTTTGAGACACCTCTGGAAGGCCTCAAACTTCCAACCTCTCAGCAGCCAAGCACCCGGCGAACCAGGAGTCACCTCTCTCTTCCCTCTGTTCATGCCCCACATGATCCACCTTAATCAATCAAATATACTAAACCCAAACCAAACTCTCTGCCCTAGAGTCAATTCTGACTCATAGCGACCCCTCTTCTGAGGCTGTATCTCTACAGAAGTAGATTGCCCAGTCTTCCCTCCAAGGGTTTGAACCACCAGCCTTCTGGTTAGCAGTCAAATGCCTTAGGCACTATGCCACCAGAGCTCCCATTAAATATATTAGTCCCACTGTTATTAGAGTACCCTGACCTTCCTTAACTTTTGTTTAGTAATATCAATCTCCAACTTATTCCCCTTGGTTGTGGAACACACACTTTAAAAAAAAAGTCAGCTACTGTCTATCAACAAGCTTGTTGTTGATGTTCTTAGGTGCTGTTGAGTCGGCTTCAACTCATAGTGACCCTGTGTACAACAGAACAAAACACCGTCTGGTCCTGCACCAGCTCACAATCTTTGCTATATCTGAGCCCATCGTTGCAGCCACCATATCAATCCATCTTGTTCAGGGCCTTCCCCTTTTTCATTGACCCTCCACTTTACCAAGCATGATATCTTTCTCCAAGGAATGGTCCCTTCTGACAACATAACCAGAGTAAGTGAGATGAAGTCTGGCCATTCTTGCTTCCAAGGAGCATTCAGGCTACATTTCTTCCAGGACAGGTTTGTTAGTTCTTTTGGCAGTCCATGGTATTTTCAGTATTCTTCGCCAACGCCACAACTCAAAAGCATCAACTCTTCTTCAGTCTTCCTTATTCATTGTCCAGTTCTCACATGTGTATGAGGCAATTGAAAATACCATGGCTTGGGTTAGGCATACCTTAGTCTTCAAGGAGACATCTTTGCTCTTCAGCACTTTAAAGAGGTCTTTTGCACCAGATATGCCCAGTGCAATACAACGTCTGATGTCTTAACTGCTGCTTCCAGTGGTGCTAATTGTGGAACCAAGTAATATGAAATCTTTGACAACTTCAATCTTTTCTCCATTTATCATGATGCTGTTTATTGGTCCAGTTGTTAGGATTTTTGTTTTCTTTATGTCGAGAGATAATCCATACTGCAGACTGTAGTCTTTAATCTTCATCAGTAAATGCTTCAAGTCACCTTCACTTTCAGCAAGCAAAGTTATGTTGTCTGCGTATCACAGGTTGTTATAATGAGTCTTCCTCCAATCTTGATGGCGCACTCTTCTTCATATCGTCCAGCTTTTCTAAAACCCTGTATGCAGCTTCTCTTTGCTCAGCATACAGAGTAAGTGTGGTGAAAGGACACAACCCTGACACACGCCCTTCCTGATTTTAAACCTTATTCTGTACAAACAATAACCTCCTGGTCTACTGTATTCATAAGTACAATTAAGCTTAGAATGGATTAACAGAAATCAATAGTTTCTTAAGTCTGTACTGGAAATGCTTCACTTACTCCTTTTCCTAATGGCCCCTTCTTTGGACGCCATCCTCACAATGCAGATCACTAGTTGCTAATTTTTCTAGACCATATTCTTTGGCAGAGAGTGCATAGGAACCTCTAAGAGTAACTTAAAGTATAAAATAACACAACTCAGACGGTAAATAATGTATCTAGGATCACCCATCTCAAAATTGAGCATGTAACGATCTTCAGGAGGGGGATCTGTGTAGGACATCCTGGGTAGAGTAGGAGAACAATGTAGCACAAAACTCAAAATTATATAAAAAAAAAAAAAAAAAAACGACCAGGCTTGCTGGTCTGATAGAGCCTGGTGAACCCGAGACTCTGGCCCCTAGTTACTCTTCAGGTCTGGAATTGAACTCCTGTGGCTTCCAGCCAAATAAAAGACCAGCATATGGGCTGAATATTTACATCAGGTAGATATACTCCTTGAAGAGATCAATCGTGGGAGAACAGAAGGGCAGTGCATGCACAGGGAGACCACTCAGGAGGCAGGAGTGCATGGGAGGGAAGGACAGAGGGAAGAGGTAACCACAGGGAAGAAGTGGAAGAAAGCTGTTACATTGTGGGGAATTGCAGTCAATGTCATGAGACAAAATGTGTATGAACTGCTATATGGAAAATGAAATTGCTCTGTCAACTTTCACCCAAATCACAATAAAAGTTTAAAAAAAATAAAATGAGCATGTAAGCTTTGGTCTCTAAGAACAATACCTTGTTTTGACAGCTGTAGCAAAGAGTTGTAAATATCATGGCAATCTCTTTCTCTGGGAACAATGAAATGCACAGTCCGGAAGTTCTTGCACTGAATCACAAGTGGGCATCCAGAAGTAGTCAACGCGAGTTTCTCCACTGAGGCAATATGGTGGTGCAATATCTACAGCATGGAAAGAATAGCCAAGTCACCATTATAAAGAACACTCAGCCTCTTTTTATCTGCCAGAGTGCATAAATGTGAGACATGCTCTCTGAAAACCCAAAGTCTCAGATGGCATGCATTGCTCACTCAAATGTAAAATTTTCAAACGACTGAATGTCCAAGCCAGAAATATGGCCCCCATCTCCTAATTATCTCTGTAACCTGCCTGCTTCTCTCCATCTGCACCGTACATCCCTAGTTGTACTGTCCCCACTGCTCCTCACCTGAAGGACTATAAACAGCCTCTTAAATGCTCTCCTCCACCTCTACTCCTGACCTCTCGAATCTGTTCTCTACAATACAGTCCAGTTACCTTTGAAAACCAATCCAGTCACGTGATTTCCGACTTCTCCAGCCTCATTTCGAGTCCCTCTCCCCATCACTGACTACATTCTAGCTGCCATAACCTTCTTTTGGCTCAATATCTCAAGCTCTAACACAGTCTCTGAGTGGCTCCCATTACCTGGGCTTTTGTCATCCCACCTCTTCACCTAGCCATGCCTCGGCATATCATAGGCCTTAAAACTCATAACATGATGCAGAAGTATAGCCTGACATCTTTTACCCCCTTCTCAAGTAAGGAGCTCTGGTGGTGTAGTGCCTAAGGCACTTGACTGCTAACCAGAAGGCTGGCAGTTCAAACCCACCAGCCACTCCTTGGAAGGGTGAGACCCCTCCTTGGGTTTCTGAGGCAGTATCACTACAGAAGTAGATCACCCAACCTTCCTTCCGAGGAGTGGCTAGTGGGTTTGAGCTGCCAGCCTTCTGGTGAGCAGTTAAATGCCTTAGGCAGTATGCTACCAGAACTCCTAGAAATACCACCTCAGAAACCCAAGGAGGGGTTGCTATGAGTCAGAATCAACTTGACAGCAGTGAGTTTGGTTTTTCTTTTTCCCAAGTAAGTTATCACCTATTAACCTACACTCTTCTTTCATACCACTTAGTACAAGAATAATGGGTTATGTGATGAAGGTCTTTTTCTCCAGTTAGATTCTGGGCACTTCCTAAGGACCAAAACTGCAGCTAAGCTAATTATCATTATCATTCCATCCTCAGAACCTAACACGGAACTTAGAGCATTATAATTGCTCAATAAATGTTTGCTGAATGGATAAATAAAAAATCTCACTGTAAACTCAATACCTGATGCATTGGAAACATGATGGTCATTCTCAGCCAACCAGTAATATTCAGTTTTCTACTAAAATATTCTCCCATTGGATCAATGTAGGAGATCCTGGACAGAGTGGGAGAACAATGTGGAACAAAACTCAAAATTATAAGTAATAATAATAATAAAAAGAGACCAGATTTGCTGGTCTAATGGAGCCTGGTAGAACCCCTGACACTATGATCCCTAGCTGCCCTTCAGGTCTGGAACTGAACCCACTCCTGTGGCTTCCAGCCAAACAAAAGACAGGCAGATGAGCTGAACATTTACATTAGGTAGATACTCTCCTTGGAGAGATCAATCATGGGAGAATAGAAGTGCTACGTATGCACAGGGAGACAGATTGGGGACAGGAGTGCATGGAGGGAAGGACACAGGGAAGAGGTGCCTATGCAGAGGAAGTGGGAAGACAGCTGTTGCATTGTGGGAAACTGCAGTCAATGTCATGAGACGAAGTTTATGTGAGCTGCTGTGTGGAAGATGAATTTGCTCTATATACTTTCACCCAAATCACAAAACTAAAAAAAAAAACTTCCCCTTCCTTGACATCATTCCTATTAATTCAAAATATTTATAGGAAACTTTTCTAGAGAAAAAAAAAAATTGGAGCAATGGCAAATTTCTGAATGAGAAGACTCAATCATGGCAAGAGATCAAGTCATCCCAAACTAGTCTACAAATTTAGCATAAATCCCAATAAAAAGTTCCAGCCTGATTTTTTTGTTTTTGTGGAAGGGTAAGGGATGACAGATAATGATATATATACTCCTGTTAAGTTTCCAAGGCAGTAAATCTTTACGAAAATAGAGCATCCAATCTTCTTTGCGCAGAGCGGCTGGTGGGTTTGAACTGCCAATCTTCTGGTTAGCAGTCAAATGCCTTTGGCACTGTACCACGAGAGCTCCTTAATATGTATTATGCATGGTAATATATAATAATAATGTTTCATGGTATATTTAAGATATACATTAATGCAATTATAATACTAACATATTAAACATATCTTGAATTTATATGGAAGACTAAATGTATAAAAATGATCAAGAAAAGCTTGAAAATGAAGACTAATGAGGGAAGAACTTGCTCTATAGAAATCAAAACCATATACAGAAAAGGCAATTAACACATAGCTAGCCCATATTTAAGACTAAGATTTAGCATCATTAACATTTATATTGTTTCAAAATTAGAAGAAGTGTACAGCAGGGTTGCATCCTTTCATCTTATTTGTTCTATCTGTATACTGAACACATAATCCAAGAAGCTGGACTACATGAAGAAGAATGCGGCATCAGGACTGGAGGTAGATTCAGGAACCCGTGATATGCAGATGACACACTGCTTGCTGAAAGTGAAGAGAACTTAAATCACTTGTTGATAAAGGTCAAAGACTAAGCCTTCAGTTTTGGGTAGCAGCCCAATGCTTCACCAGTGCCACCAGAGCTCCTTTCTCAGCAAAAGACCTCTTTAAAGCTTTAAAAAGCAAAGATGTCATTTTAATAATTCAGGTGTGCCTGATCCTAGCCATGGTCTTTTCAATCGTCTCATATACATACAAAAGCTAGGCAATGAAAAAGGAAAACAGAACTGATGCACTGCATTGTGGTGCTGGTGAAGAGTACTGACTATGCCATGGACTGCCAGAATGAACAGATCAGTCTTAGGGGAAATACAACCAGATTGCTGTGTAGAAGCAAGAACCATAAGACGTTAGCTTGCTCACTTTGGACACATCACCAGGAAAGACCAGTCACTAGAAAAAGACATTATGGTTGATAAAGTAGAGGGTCAGCAAAAATGAAGAAAACCCTCAATGAGATGGATTTTACACGGGAGTGGTAATAATGGACTCAAACATACTAACTAGTTACCATGACGACAGTGCAGGACCAGGCAACATTGCATTCTGTTTTATATAAGGTTGCCATGCGTTGGAGCCAACTTGATGATAACTAACAAAAACAACAGCAGCAGCAGCACTTGTATTAGTGGACCTGTGCCAAGTTACTCAAAAGGATGTAACAGTAATATCGAGTTACAGAATAAGGGACAATAAGCTCAATAAGAGGGTCAGAAAATATTGTATCACTATTACGATTGCAACTGTCCTAAGATTCAAAATTATTTGCAGAAAGAGAATGATAAAGGGTCCTGGCTCTACTGCTAACTAGCCATCATATCTTGAAAAAAGAAACAATCGTAAAATGCAAAACATGTATAAAACATTGATAATGCCACTTCCAGATCTAAAATCTACTTCTATGGATACTAAAGAGATTTCATTCAAGAGAGACATAAAGGAATGTACTGATCAGAAACCATTTATAAAACAATAATAGGAGAAAAGAGGAACAGTATCTTTTAGTTGCCTCCAACAACCAAGTTCCCAAGATGTGAAATAGTAGCAATATGGGAAACTTCCATGTGTATCTCTAAGAGATGGGTAACATTCAGAGTAGATATCCAGGGGGTAGAGTGAACAAAAGAAGGCTAGAGAGGTGGATGAAAGTAGGAGTAAAGACTTTATATGCCACTGCTAGGTTAAACTCCTAATAGTTCCTGGACAAACACTGGATGGGGAGGAGAGTGTCTCTAGGAAACACAACTTCTCCAAAATCAATACCTCGGGTATGTTAGACTGGGTTCTCTAGAGAAGCAAAACCACTAAAACTTATAGAGAGAGAGAAAGAAATTTATCTTAGGAAAATGGCTCACACACTTAATAGAAGCTGGCAAGTCCCAAGTTCTTAGATCAAATGTCAAGCTGGAGGCTTTTTCCGACTCACACAGCTACAGGGGCTGACAAGGTCAAGGTAGGCAGGCAATATACTGGCTGTTGACTCCAACAAATTATGAATCCAAGATCTCCAGGCCAAATGGTGGATTGTTCATTCACTCACAGACTGTTGTAGGCAGCACAACAGAATCCCAATCCACAGAAGAGTTCTCTTTTCTGAGGATGTCCATAAATATACTGGAAACAGGCCACACTCCTAGGGAAACTCCCTTTCAATGGATTGGCTGCTCAAAACATATACATCTGATCCCATCATGGGAACAACCCATATCACAACTGCTTAAACCACACAGAATTGTGGTCCAGCCAAGCTGACACACAGCTCCAACTATCACATCAGGTAAGTATCTTAACTGACTTATTGCCATCACATAGCAACTAGATGGCCTTCCTGTGAAAATCCCAAGACTGCAATCAAAAGACAAGACAGAAAAGAATGTGGCATGCTCAGAAGGGTTGTATCACAGGGCAACATGACTGTCTGCACTGGGAGTCAGTACTGAGCTCAAATCTTGATCCTGCCACACACAAATAGTAAGAGGAACTGTGATTTAATTAGTCACGACTGTGTTTTAGGTATAGATTCTTTTGATATTTTATCTCCTCTAAGATTTGCACCAGTTCTACATGATAACAGATGCTATACCCATTTTACAACAATACTAAGCCTCAAAGTTAAACATCTTTTGGCAGACACTCATGGTAGGGCATTCCTCCCCACTTTCCTTACTTGCAACACTGATTTCCCAGAGGAGACTAAAAATGCCAGACACCTGCTTTCTCTGCCTCCTATGCAGGTAGGGGGTGTAGGGGCAGTGGCACAATGCTGTCAATAAAACAGGACAGACAGCTCAAAAGCAGACCACAAATATATGGCAGCTTTATTTATAGCAGAGCTGGTACTGCAGATAAACGGAATGGAACAGTCAATGAACAGCACTGGTAAACACTGAAGTGGTCATGGATTTCATTTTATTTAGATCCACAATCAATGCCATGGAAGTAGCAATCAAAAAACCAAATACCATATTGCATTGGGCCAATCTGCTGCAAAAGATCTCTTTAAAGTGTTAAAAAGCATAACACATGGTATTTTCAATCGCCTCATTTGTACGTGAAAGCTGGAAAACAAATAAGGAAAACCAAAGTATTGATGCCTTTGAATTATAGAGTTGGTAAGGAATACTGAATACACCATGCACTGCCAGAAAAATGAACAAATCTGTGTTGGAAGAAGAACAGCCAGAATGCTCCTTAGAAGCAAGGGTGGCAAGACTTCAACTCATGAACTCTGGAAACATTATCAGGAAGGACCAGTCCCTGGAGAAGGACATCATGTTTGGTAAAGTAGAGCATCAGTGAAAAAGAGGAAGACTTTCAACAAGATGGAGTGGTATAAGGGCCACAACAGTAGGTTTAAACACAGCAACAGTTGTGAGGATGGCCCAGGACCGGGCAGTTCTTGTTCTGTTGTACACAGGGTCACTATGAGTCAGAACTGACTCGAGGGCACCTAACAGCAACAATAATCCATATGAAAAACTAAAATTGAATCCCTAGCAGACACCAAAATATTTTCCAGCTGTATGATAAACTGCTATGGATACATGGAAGGCAAAAATCAAGCCTTTAGATGAATACAAGGAAGATGACCCAACAGAAAGAAAAGGAAAGCTACTGGCCAAAGGATATGAGAGGCTAACTTCCCTCCAGTCAGCAAAGGAAAATCACAGTTGCATATGCACCAGATACGCAAAACTGTAAAAGCTGACAAAACCAAATGTTGCTGAGGCTGCAGAACAATGTGCCACCCTCCATCGTATGAAGACGAATTGGAAGCATCACTGTAGGGAGCTGGCATTCAGTAAGATGAGTATGTATTTATCCAAGACCCAGCAATTTTACTGCCAGGCAAATACCCCAGAGAAACTCTGGCACATCTACACAAGGAAATATATACAAGCTGCCAATTGTCTGTACTCAGAAAATGGACTATTTATATTCAAACCAAAAAAACCAAACTCACTGCCATCGAGTCAATTCTGACTCATAACCACCCCTCCTTGTGTTTCCAAGGCAGTATCACTATGGAAGTAGATTGCCCAAACTTCCTTCTGAGGAGTAGCTGGTGGGTTTGAACTGCCAGCCTTCTGCTTAGCAGTCAAATGCCTTAGGCACTACACCACCAGAGCTCCTTTTGTTTATACTAGGATTTTTCATAGATTTTCTTCATTTTAATCAAAATAGATAAAAAAAAAAAAAAAAAATTAAATATTCTAGTTGCAATTTGATATTTAAAAAACTGTGGAATATGCTATTAGATCCATTAACATATACTTAAATTTTAGTAAGATAAAAGAAATATAGGTATTTTATAATAATTTATGGAGACAGAAGAGTCTCTCTTGTATTCTATGGAAGAATTCCACATTCTACATATCACTGTTTTATGAAGAGGGAAGGCAGAAGTGATCTGGTTACTTTGAAAAATGTTTGGTTGAGATGAATTACCAATTGTTATGGATTAAATCATGTTTACCCTCCCTTTCTGCCTCCCCCCATATGTGTTAGAATGCTAAACTGTATTCCTGCAGATGTAATCCTGTTTGTAAATAGGGTTTTCTTTGTATGTTAATTAGATCAAATATGAATACAGTGGGTTCTAAATCTAATCACTTCTGAGTTTAAAAAGAACAGATAGGGAGACAGACATCAAGTAAGGATCACCAAGGAACCAGGAAGATCCAGGCTACCAGCAAGGAAGGAACTGACACAGCCAAGACCCTAATGTGCGCACTTTCAGCCTCCAGAAACATAAAAAAATAAATTTCTGTTCCTTAAAGCCACCCACTGTGGCATTCTGTTAAAGCAGCACTGGCAAACTGAGATACCAACAATTAAACATTTTATACATAGTTCAAGTCTGTTATTATGTTGTTAAACAAAATAGCTGGGGTTCTACTTACCCAAGTTTCTTTTTGATGAGAGTCTATAAATAATAGGTGTGTGGCCGTAAGGTATAGCGTTCCTGTCAATGACTTGTTGCTGGTGCTGAATCGGTCAAGTACTTTCACTTGCTCTACCTAAAAAAGAACAAAATTTTATTTCTCATTTCAAAAGCAATAGAAATTATTTTTCTGCTATCCCAGGACTTACATGAAGCTCACTGAATATTCAATGGTATATCTCACAAGTCTTTTTGGAGAATATACGAACCACAAAAAAAGAAAACAGGCATTACGTATGATTAAAAATATAACCAATATTTAAGAATTTTGTTAAATGAAAAAAGACTAGCACAAACATCAGGAGGAATAACAAGAAAGGAAGAGATGTGTTATAAACACGCAAAAACATTTTTCACACTCAAGAGTCAAAATATTTAAAGTTGGCTAGTAAAGGAGAAAACGCATAAGATTATTATCTAGAGTTAAGAAAGTAAACTACTAGAAAAATTAAATCAGAAAACAGAAGGGTTTCAAGGTCCAAATTAGTCTCTGTATTTTTCCCCTCTCTCCACGCAAGTATAATGGCTGTGTTCAGCTCTGGGCTTTTACTAGTACTGTTCTCCCTTCCTCAAATGGTCTCAGCCGAGAAGGCAGTGCAGCCACACCGCACAGGCAGTCTCTGACATAATGACAGCCTCCTGTTCCCATGACTCCGTTGTAAATTGGTTCTGACTTAAGGTCAGCAAAGGAAAATCCAATACTTTTTTTTTTTAAGTATTAAATATTTTGCCTTTTATTATCAGTATCTTTATAAATCTGATCTTTATTTGTCCTCAGGGGATGACATGAGAATACTAACACCAGCAAATTATGCACTATAACACTATACGTAGTACACCATCAGTAACAATAAGATGTACAAACAAATGGCAGTTCATTGTAACTCGAAATCATCAAGTCGGGGACTACCTGTACATCTTCACTGACAGTAACAGATACACACACACATATATAGATAGTGCCTAAGGCACTTGACTGCTAACCAGAAGGCTGGTGGTTCAAACCCACCAGCCACTCCTCAGAAGGAAGGTTGGGCAATCTACTTCTGTAGTGATACCGCCTTGGAAACCCAAGGAGGGGTCGCTATGAGTTGGGTCCAACTTAACGGCATATAACAACAACAGTACAGGATGTAGCCTTTGGACAGTAGGATTACTGCTGGCCAGAAATACGCAGGAGACTACTGCTTTGAAAGAATGATAGTCAGTGTTATTTTATTTCAAAAATATTTAAATAACCACAAAGAACTTTAAAAAAACGTTAATTCACAGCTACAGAAGTAGGTTGTAAATAGTTCTTTAAATTGTTTTTGTCTTCAAAGCCATATTAAAAAACCAAACCCACTGCCATCGAGTCAACCAACTCATAGTGACCCCTTTGGGTTTCCGAGGCAGTAAATCCTTACGGAAGTAGACTGCCCAATGTTCCTTCCACACAGTGGCTGGTGGGTTTGAACCACCAACCTTCTGGTTAGCAGTCAGCCGCCTTGGGCACTGTGCTACCAGAGCTCCTTTCAAAACCAAATAGCTAACCATTATCTCATTAATTTTATGCTCTTTTCCCACATTTTCCTGACTAATACTTAAGAACAGAATGCCCCCATTATGCAATTACGATTTCCAAAATAATTACTATTACTTAAAAGACTAGTTAGCTTTCCCCTAACTACCAGATGTTTAGGTACATGCGTGTAACAACAGCACCTGTTTGCATATGGGTAAGGCAATGAATTTAGTTTTGCCTTTGTCTTAAAAATATTTTTTATTGTGTTTTTGGTGAAGGTTTACACAGCAGTTCAGGTTCCCATTTAGCAATGTCGGTACAAGTCATTCAGCGACATTGGTTACATTCTTCACAATGCACGAACATTCTCATTGTTTTTGTTCTAGTTGTTCTATTTCCATTCATCTAGTTTCCCTGCCCCTTTATATTCTCATCTTTGCTTTAAAATAATTGTTGACTCTCATATAAAGTAATGTTGGTCTCACATAGGTGACTTTTGTAAAGGAGCACAGTACTTATAAGTGATGTTTATTATTTTGTGATCCAATCTGTTATTTGGCTACAAGGGGAACTCAGGGGTTAGTTTTGGTCCAGGTTTGAAGAGTATCTCAGGGTAATTGTCTCAAGGAGTCCTCCAGTCTCAATCGCTCTAGTTAGGTCTGTTTGAGATTTTTTTGTTTTTCTTTTTGTTTTTAAGGAATCTGAGGTTCTGATCTCCATTTTTCTCCCATAAATTAGGGTCCATCTATTGTGGCCCTGATTAGAATGAATAGTAGTAGCCGGCACCATCTAGTTCTTCTGGTCTCAAGGTAGTTAAGGCAGTGGTTCGTGTAAACTATTGGTCATGTAGACTGGTTTTCTTCTTTGACTGTTTCATTTCCTTCTTTTTCTTTTGCTCTGGAGGAGTTGAGACCAATAGTTGTATATTAGATGGCTGCTTACAATCTTTAAAAGCCCAGACACTACCCACCAAAATAGTATTAGAACGTAACTTTATGAACTATATTATACCAACTGACTGAGATGTCCCATGAGACAACAGTCCTAACCTTTCAAACACAGAAATTTAATCCCACAAGGTGTTTGGTTATATCAAAGAAGTATCCATAACTGTGTCCCCATGTTTTCTTATATATATGAATATATATGCATATAGTCACATAAATACATATACATATGCACACACTTACATATGGACATCTATATATCCAAATGACATACATAGATATATGCCCACATATGTATTTTTTGGTTGTCTTTGCTGTTGTTTCAAAATTATATATGCCATTGTAGTTACCAACAGGTCCTTTCTTCTTGTGTACTTTCTAGTGATATCAATTACCTCTGGCAAGCTATATACACTTCACCCTCATTCAGTATCACCTTTCCCATCACCAAAACGAATAACTGTCTACTATCTAGAGAGTAAATTCCATTCTCTTCCTTTCATCCTTGGTTACCACTAACGAACATTAGTTTCTGTATGTTGTTCATTTCATTCCATAAAAGTGCTTTTTTGTGTGTGGTTAATAATTTCTCTCAGCATAGTGTCCTCCAGGTTCATCCATGTTCCAGATGTTCTGGGAACTCATTTGTCTTTATTGCTGAGTAATATTCCAATGTATGGATGTACCACATTTCACTTATCCATTCATTTGTTGATGAGTACTTGGGTTATTGCCATCTCTTTGCTATTGTGAATAGTGTGAGATGAACATGTTATTGTTGTTAGGTTCTGTGGTAGTTCAGTCTGTGTTATCAACTTGGCTGGGCCTGGTTGAATGGCTGGGCAGCTGGTGGTAGTTATTCTCCATGATGAGACTGGCAATCAACTCCATGGTGGGATCTACCACAAGCATCTGAGTAGCTGCCTGTGGGATGTGGTCTGCTTCCTGTATCTGTTATTGTTCAGCAGCCTGCCATGCTCTGCCAACCTTGGGACTTACAATGAACTTGAATTAATGGCCTGCTGTGTGGTTTGGTAACATTGGGACTGTGCCTTTTTTACTTGTCAACCTTGGGCTCCTCAGCCTCAGCAGCCAGCAGCTGTCTGAGTGAAGAAACACCTCTAGCTCCAGTGGGCTGGAAGCAGGAGGCAGAGCTGGACCCCAAGATTGAAGGGCTTTCACCTAGCCCCTAGAGCCTGGCACTTTAAACTTGGACTTAAAGCCTCCAAACTGTAAGAGAATAAACTCCTGTTTGTTAAGGCCATCCCATGTGGCATATTCTTGTCAGAGCGGCACTAGGGAGCAGAACAGGTACCGTCAAGTAGGTTCTGACCCATAGCAACCCTAAGCACAACAGAACGAAATGCTGTCCAGTCCTAAGCCATCTTCACAATCATTGCTATGTTTGAGCCCACTGTTGCTACCACTGTGACAAGCCATCTCATTGATCCTTCACCGATCCTCTTAAGCATGATGCCCTTCTCCAGGGACTTGTCCCTCCTGATAACATGTTCAAACTACGTGAATCAAAGTCTCACCATCCTCTCTCCTAAGAAGCATTCTGGCTGTATTTCTCCCGAGGCAGGTTGGTTTGTTCTTCTGGCAGTCCATGGTATATTTAATATTCTTCACCAACACCATAATCCAAATGCATTAATTCTTCGTTGGCCTTCTTTATTCACTCTCAGTTTCACATAAATATGAGGCAATTGAAAATACCATGGTTTACGTCATATCCTCAAAGTGACATCTTGGCTTTTTAACACATTAAAGAGGTCTTTCGCAACATATTTGCTCTATGCAATATGTCTTTCGGTTTCTTGACTACCCTTTCCATGGGCATTGATGGTGACTACAAGTAAAATGAAAACTCTGACAACTTCAATCTTTTCTCCCATTTATCATGATCTTGCTTACTGGTCCAGTTGTGAGGATTTTTATTTTCTTTATACTGACGGCTGTAGTCTTTGATCTTCATCAGTAAGTGTTTCAAGTCCTCTTTGCTTTCAGCAAGTCCACCCTAAAATCAGTATGGCAATTCCTTAAAAAGTTGGAAATGAAATACCATTGGATCCAGCAATTCCTTTACTAGGTATATATTCTAAAGTGAGAACCAGGATACGAGTAGATACACACACACCCATGTTCAAAGCAGCACTAGTCACAGCAGCAAAGAGATGGAAACAACCTAAGTGCCCATCAGCAGAGGAATGGATAACCAAACTAGCACATACACACAATGGAATCCTACACATTAAAGAACTGTCGAATCTGTGAAACACCACACAATGTGGATGAATTTGCAGGACATTGTGCTGAGTGAAGTCAGTCAATCACAGAAGGACAAATACTGTACGAGTCCACTATTGTAAAAAGTCAAGGAAAGGGTGATATATGGAAGGAAATTTTCTTTGTTGGTTACCAGAGATCTTTTTTTTTTTCGGGGGGGAGGGGAGAACAGACAGATAGATAGGTTTAAAAACACATACATATATATACCAAAGATTATTAGTGGTTACCAGAGGGAGGAGGGAGGAAAAGAGGGGAAGCTTGTGTTTGCAGAGCACTGAGTTTATGCTAATAGTGGTGGAATATTTTGGGAAAGGATAGCAATGGTGGCACAAT